TATATATATATATTGTGCAAACGTTCCTCTCCTGTGCAGATTGTCTGATCACATCATGAAATGGCTGTTAAATGTGTTTTATCTCACCCTTGGGAAGGTTGGGATTTCAAGTGCATCCAAGTACAATGCCTTGAAACCAGTTGCAGAACTATTGTGCTTAGTGCTCCTTCTGTGAGCCTTTATTATTATTTTTATTTAAAGGGGAAAAGCCCAAAGATACTCATATTAGAGGATAGGTGTTTTTGATCATACCCTTTAATTGGCCCCTATTTTAGTTGTGAATTGACACACAATAGCTTAACATGGATGTAACTCCAAGGCTCTGTGTCCCCAGTTAGTATCCGTCTGTCACCTTGTGTTGGCTAAAACATGGATATGTGATGCATTAAGCCACCGGCAGCTGTCAGTGCTACTCTTTATCCCACCATGGTACAGGGGTGACGGGGGATATTGAGTCTAACCTAAAGGGCTAACACAGTGAAGCTTATTTCATTAGTTATTAAGACAGCACCAGGTTGGGCTTTTAGTTTCTCAGTGCAGCAGGACAGCAGATGACTTATGGGTATAAGTGGTTGGGGGAGGTTGGCCCGATAAGGTGAGGCCAAGAGTAACCTCGCTGTTAGTTTCTAAGCTTTTCTGTTTCACTTAAGTTCACATGGGGTTTAAATGGATGCGGATGGTTTTCTAAGAATGATGTCAAGAAAAATTAGGTGACACTGGCTGGTGTCCTGTGTTTTCATGTTCAGGAGGCTTTCTTTGGAAAGGACCTGCTAGACAAAAGCAAGCAGAGCAGGCAACAGGGGGTCGAATCAGGATTACTAGAAGACGGACAAAGCCAAGTGGAGAGGAAGCATCCCACTAGCAGTTTTCTGGATCCCTCATCAGACCCTCTGCTTAGCGCATCAACAACATCCATTCCCCCCAGACCAGGAGCAGCACGTATGTATATACATTACTTTGGTTCTCCGCAGCAAGAGATGTAATATTCACTGATTCAAAGCATCGTACTGCACTGAATATTTGATATGACCAAAGACAGAGCATGCTCTGAACTTGGCCAGTGCTTTTAAAGAAACAATGCAGGTGTTTGGCAAAGGGTAAAACAGCATATAGTCCATGTTGCATGAAGTTTTAATGAATTTTGTCTCCCTTGTACTTACTTGTCCCCAATGAGAGTATTAACCGCTTCATGCAGAACTGAATGGGTTTGAAACATGTTTACTGAACACATGTTCAAATTGCATATTCCCCATTCATACATGACCAAAATGTTGGAGGTTAATCTCTGATAATTAGCATTCAGACCCTCGACTGCTGCTCCAACTAAAGCTAAACTAATTAAAGAATACTTAAATTCCAAAAGCGAAGTAAATACAGCGAACTTTCAGTTTCTGTTCTCTTTGCAAGCTCGCTCTGTCTTGCTACACTCACTGTGTGTGTCTTGCTCTCTTGATCTTTCTCTAAATTTTTCAAAAAATTGTAAATGCCCTTTATACTCACCTCAAGGATGGCACAGCCAGAAACAGAAGTGTAATATCCTGAATAATAGCAATGTGTTGTCAGGACTGAGTCCAGATAGAAAAGGTTTTTAGCAAAAAACTGCCATAAAATTAAAGATTAGAAGCTTGCCAGTATTCTAACAGTAGTTTAATTTATTATTTAAAGCGCAGTGCAGATAGTTTGTAACTTGCACCATAGCTTTACATTGTTAGCCGCTCCCTGCACTCCAGTCAAATAGATGTGTCCAAGACTGATGACTGTAGCAGAAGTAGACTTAGATTGTGTTTGAAATCAAACAATCCCACCATTTCACTGACAGGTGAACAGGGATGTGGTATGATTGCTGATTCAATTTTCAGTCTTGTTCCAGCCTGTTTAAATACCCAAACTTGATACACTCTGTCCACATATCTGGACATTTGGTAGCTTCTTATGTTGGCACGAATCGAACAAAACACGCGTCTATGAAGTTCTTCACAATTAGTAATTACCTGGCTCTTAGAGAGAAATATTTGATTTTTATTACAAAATTACTGTTTGATTTGACAAATTTGTCATAAACTAGGGTTAGTTTGCTTAATAGGCTGTCATTGTGTTTAAAGGCATCGTGATGACTTGGGAAGTGACAGTAATGAATACTGGATTCCCGAGAGGGTTGCAGATTTTTTTTGCCATTCAGAATCTGGTGTGCCTCATTTAAAAGAAAGAAACTCAGCAGTTTTAACAGTTCAGTAAAATAAAACACTGGAACCTTGACAACTGTGACTTTAAAAAATGGTGATTTATTTATTTATTACACTTTTACTTCAACTTTTTAAGGAAGAAATAGAAAATTATTAGAAGAGACTATATTACGAGACAAAAAGCTAGAAGTCGAATGACTCACATCAGTCAAGGCCTTCACTGACGAAATCCATGAAACAGAAAACCTTACAGTTCATATAATTAAACTTATTCTTTAGTATACATTCTTTGGAAAGATACATCTGATATGGTACATTTGGAGTTTTATTTTATTTTATTTGTGACATTTTTTAATGTTTATTTTTAACAGCAAATTCTACATGAGGCATCCAAACAGATGGTTCCAACTCTCATTCATGTCCGTTCATCATCATCAATTATGATTTGTGACAGTTTGGTTTTCTTCCTTTTTTTGTTCTTTTGTTCCTTTTTTCCCCCGCATCTACAGAGACGTCTGAGGAACCATTAGTTGATCTATCTGATGTTCTGAACACTGATGCAGACATCTTGGGAATGCTCGGAAAGCCAAGCAATGACTCTGGTGCGTTATGTATCTCACAGGCAGTCACAGTGGCAAGATTTTATTAATAGTCACCTAGCCGTGGGTATATAAAATAGTTTCACTCCTCAATTAGAAATTTCCCCAAATAGAAACAATCTTTTGCTTTCACTACGTTAATAATTTTTTAATATCACAATATTTTTTTGTTTGTTCACCTTTTTTGTTTTCTTTTTTGTTTGCATCATCTAAAGTGTGTTGTGCTTATGCTGTCTTCACTATTTTTTTTCCCCACCCACTCATTTGATCTGGTTTTGGGTTCTTGTAGGTCTTGATTTTTGCCCCTTCCAGGTTGACAGCTCACCTCCTCCTTTTGGTAAGGGTGCTCTGGCCTACTAATCCCTTGCTTTAGTGCATTCTCCCCCTTTTACAGTGTCTCCGTGTCTCTATTTAAGTGTGCATGTATACAAGCTGCTTCACACCAACCTTTTCTCAACCATTTCAGATTGTTTTAACACTCATTAACTTCTTAGTGCTTACCTAACACCGTGCACGGTATTCACTCAAGCGCCTATGGTGTGTGGGTCTTTGTTTGTGAACCTCCTATACCCTAACGCAAGTTCTTATCTGCCTAATCGAAAATGTCTCCAAGATAGCAGAGAAACAAATTGGCAAGGACATCCTGGTATTCAAGAAATGAGCAGTTTAGAACAAGAGGCCTTGGCAAATGTCCTTCTAATTCCTGAAGACGGTGAAATCCTCAGTTCTCATTCCTGTGGCTTTATGGCAAAAAGCATCTGCAGTTCATGTCCTTCATTCTTTGGAAGAAGAAGAAGAAATACTTTATTTATCTGAAATATTCTAAGGGCTTATATAATTTCGTTTTTGTACTGCTGTTGCCAACCAATGTTTGCAACCATCCTTGTATTGGTATTTAGTTTTGTGTAGAAGAAATTATTTAAATAATTTAAAGTGTCAGACATTAGTTGGAGAGGAGTGTGTTATGTTGGTAGTCGTGCTTTGATAAATTCTTATGTAATTCAAATTGAAAAAAATGTTTCAAAAGAAGCTCCATGGCTTTCTTTTAAAAAGAAAGGTCTTAAATGGAAGGCTAATGTAGGGGTTAGAACAGCATTTTCCTTCAGACTTTGTGTACCTTTAATCAGATTTAGTCTGACCTGTCTGAACTTTCACATATCCTAAAACATTCCTTTAAAACAATACAGGAACCCCAAGGAGCTGTAATCGTATAGTCTTTGGTCTTGGTTGTGTTCCACAGGCTGTTATGACAATAAACATGTTCTCACTTCAGTTCTATATTTCTGATCTCGTTCTTGCTCAGTATTTTGTTGGTTGCTCTGTGTATGTGTGCACATGTGTCTGTGTTATGATTTGTTTTTGCATTGACTGTGTGTTTCCACAGCTGGTCTGGACATTGGGCCCCTGGCAGACAGTTCCCCAGTGGCGCCCCAGTCTCAGGCAGGCCGGAGAACACCTCGAACCCTCTCAGAGGAACCCCTGGACGGCATTCTCAGCCCAGAGCTGGACAAAATGGTTACTGATGGTCAGTGTGGGAGACCAGGCGCCATGTTTAGCCACAGTTCTAACACAGGAACTTCCCACAGGGATTAAGAACCATTGTTGGTTGTTGCTTTTGGTTTTAGTTCATTGTGATTTAATTTAACAACACGCAAGAAATTCTGTGATACAGGCAGCGATGACGAAGTCCAGGCATTGTTAGGGATTTAGGAAAACAAGACATCCTGTGTGAACTTGAAATGAAGCGCTCCAATGGGAGCATTTTGTTCTTGATTTTGGGTCGCACAGTTTCCAACAAAAGTGAAGTAAAACAGCTGAAACGTTGTTGTAACCGTCAGCTAACTATTTATCCAATATTTATCGGGCATTTTAGTACATTGGGAATGTAGAGAACAGAGGATCAAAGTTAGTTCTGTGGAAAGTTTCTGTGCATTAAGCCCATCTTCTTCTTCTGGCTTTTAGTAGCAACTTTAAGGCCCTTTGCTTTGGAACTTCAAAATGAATAATAATCTGTTTTTGTTGATTCTTTGTTTTTCAGAGTCAATTCTCAGCAAACTTTACAAAATTCCAGGTTTGTAATTTTTATCCTTCTTGTGAAAACTTAAGTTTGGTCCAGTTATTTCCCACCCAGCATAACTGACCTCTAAACTCATGATGAAGTGTTGTAACCAATTTCACCAATATAATGTTATAAAGATTAGTGTAATGAATGTTCTGGTTCCTTTAAAAGCAGTAATAGGATGTTCTCTGACATTGTATGCTACTACATTTCATACACATGTACGCTTACACTGAGCTGTCAAACTTTTTCAGAGCTGGAAGGAAAGGATGTGGAGGATCTCTTCACAGCAGTCCTGAGCCCCAGCACGAGCCAACCACCACCACAGGTGCCTCACCCCCAGGGTCCAGGGCCCCTCCCTGCCACACCTGGCACTAGCATGCCTCACCCCAATGCAGGTACATCATTAGTCATTTTGCCCTGATCAAATAAAAATATTACAAAATGTTTTTAAAATCTCCATCTACTTCACCTCGCAAATCTTGTGTTCAGGGAATCCCATGTTTCCAAGAATGCCAATGATTAATGGTATGATGGGACCAAACCAACGCTTCCCTACAAATCATGGAGCAGGGCCCTGCATCCCAGAAAATTTCTCTCCCCTCAACCGTATGCCTTTCACTGACAATCCGAGGTAAAGTCATGCTTCCCTTTCAACTGTTAATGCATTTTTTTTTCTTTACTCAGCAAAATCAGCAAAGTATAACTTTGGAGCTTCTGTTCTTTGTGTTACAGGGAAAGAAAGTTTAATCAGATGCCTAGAGAGGCAGTTGGTCCATGGCCCACCCCTACCCATGGCCCTGGCCCTACACCCCCTGGTTCTTTGCCCGAGGGGGACACTGAAGCCATGTCAAATGCCCAAAGGAGTACACTCAAGTGGGAAAAGGAGGAGACACTTGGAGAACTAGCCACCGTTGCTCCTGTGCTATATACTAATATCAATTTCCCCAACCTTAAAGAAGAATACCCAGGTTGGTATATAGCTCTAAAGCTTGAAGGCATTTTCTCTCCTGTTTGTGTTTTTTATGGTCCAGTTTACATTGTCATTCCTGTTATTTCTGCTCATTTCTGGTTATTGTTTTTATACTGACTGCATTACATCATACAGTACAAACCATACCTTGTATGCACTTTGAGAGCTGCTGACTTGACAACTTTCTCCATTATTCTTCCTAGACTGGTCTACAAGAGTGAAGCAAATTGCAAAACTTTGGAGGAAAGCTAGTTCACAAGACAGGGCCCCATATGTGGTAAGATCAATGATTCAATTATCCCATTTAGTTTCAATTAAATCAAAGACTGTACAATGCAGGACACCAAAGTAGCTGCACAGACTTACCTAGTATGCAAAAGGCACACTCGTGTATCTGGCCGGTTGCCTTTTGCCAAACCAGTTTGAAACGCAGTCATTCTCTGATGAACTAATTAACAGCGGAAGTCTTGCTCAGAATTAAAGCTCCCTATTGCCTCTGTAATTAAGTTTACTGGAAGCCATTTTACCTGGTAGAGGCCCCTTTTAAAGACCCAGTCTCTGCTTGGCGAGTTTAGTTTTGATTTTTGGTTGTTGTTGGGGGGGGGGGTTTAACACTTATCTGTAAAAGGCTGATGGGATGTTGTTGAGAGTGTTGAATATGCTAACTCGAGAATGGAGCAACGCAGGATTTTCAAGTTGATACATAGATGCATCTACTAAAAATTGAGTTTGAATCTCAGTGACCTCAACCTCACGGTCAAAGGTCAACTTTTCTGAAAATCATGTAGGCTTTTCACATTTATGCCATAGGTGCATCTGTTAGGAGGCTGAGAGGGTAGCACAGGCGGCTGCCAGTATTTTTTATTTGCAATCTTGTTTTAAAACCACTATTGTGATACATCATCTTGGTTATGAACTATTGAGATACCTAATTTAACAATAAGAAGTTGACCTTCATCCTGCTCCATGTACAATATGTAAAGGCTATGCAACCAAAGGATTAAGCATGGCAATCCCATCCAAAACAAATGCCTGCATATCATAAAAATATTATTTTTACTGCTATGAAATAATTATAATTCAGTATTGCGTACTAATGTTTGTAATAGTGTAAGTAGACATTACAGAGAATTGGGGGCTACATGGATAACCTTAATTTTTTTCTATAATCTTGTATTTATCAAATCTCTCTAATCTGTTTTTGTTTTGTTTTTCAATTGTGATTGATTTGCTGTTTAGCAAAAGGCAAGAGATAACCGAGCAGCCCTGCGCATCAACAAAGTCCAGATGTCGAATGAGACCGTGAAGAGGCACCATCCACAGCAACAGCCCCCTGAGGTGTTTGATCCCAACATACCACTAGACACAGATCTCCTGTTTAAAGACCCTTTGAAACCAAAAGAGTCAGAGCATGAACAAGAGTGGAAGTTTAGACAGGTAAGAGTGTATGCAATGAAGTCAGTCAGTCGAATGCAGCGGCAGGTCCACTTTATATTAAGACAGCTAAGAAGTGGTGGTTTAGTAAAACACCCCCTAAAGAACTACACTATCCTCCACATTAACCCTGATGACATTGGTGGCTAGTAGGTCCAGCTCTTTTTTGGCATGAGACTGATAATTTATGCACCCCTTTTGTCATCTAATGCAGCTTTTCACTCTGTCCTTCCAACAGCAAATGAGGCAGAAAAGCAAACAGCAAGCCAAAATTGAAGCCACTCAGAAACTGGAGCAAGTAAAGAATGAACAGCTTCAACAACAACAACAACAGCAACAGCAACAACAGCAAACTAGTCAGTCAGAGGGAGATGCCAACAACAGTGGTAACCAAAGCCCAGCCTCCCAGCCCAGTAATGGCAGCATGTCCCCTATGCAGCAGGTCAACCCAAAAGAGAGCTTTTCCAGGACGCTATCAGGGACACCCACTTCAGGTCCTTCAGAGGATGTGTTCTTGCGACCCCCTCCTCCCCCTCCCTCTGGGCCTTCCTCCCAACCTCAGTCTCCACAAGTTTTCTCACCAGGTTCCTCTGGTTCCAGACCATCATCTCCATGGGATCCATATGCCAAGATGGTTGGGACCCCAAGACCTCCAACTCTCGGACCAAATGCGTGTCGAAGAATGCCCATGGAATCTGGTAAATCACCCACCTCCTTGATGGAGCAGCAGGACAGAGGGAGGCCCTCTCCTGCTCATGAATCTTTTGGTTCTCCCACATCAATGACCAGTGATCCTTACGCCAAACCTCCTGACACCCCAAGACCCACTGGTGAAGTTGACCCTTTTCTGAAGCCCATGGGTCCCCCCAGAGGCAGTCAAGCTGCTCAAGGAAGGCCTCCAATGGGTTCTCCTGGCAGAGACCCATACTCAAGGCCAATGATAAGAAATGATGCCTATCAGCGCATGACCCAGAACAGGATGATATTGTCTGACCCTTATTCAAGACCTTTACTCACGCCGATACCTGGAAGCAATGAGTCTGGCTCTGTCCCTCTATTTAAAACACCTATGCCCCCTCCTCAGGCTCAGGATCACTTCAACCGACCAGGCCCACATCCTACTGACAGATTCTCCCAGAATCAGCAAACTGACCCCTATGCCCAGCCTCCACACACCCCAAGACCGTCAGCGAATGACAACTTTACCAGTCCTCCCAGGATGGGCCAGCATCACCCACAGGGGCACTCCTTTGCTCAGCCAGGACCAATTACTCAAATATCAAGAAATCCTTATGCACATGCACCTTCCACTCCAAGACCTGACCACTTCACATATGACCCTTTTGCCCAGCCTTCTGGTCCTAGCAAGCAAGCTGCTGACCCTTTCTCTCAGCCTGGAGCTAACCACCGATCCATCAATGAAGCAGGTGCTCAACCTCGACCGTTTTTTGAGCCCTATGCTCGACCACCTGGCACCCCACGTCCCCATGACAACTATGGTCAACCACCAAACACCCCCAGCCCATCCTCAGATCCCTACTCGCAGGCTCCAGCTACACCTCGTCCTAGTGGAATGAACCAGTTTTCTCATCAGTCTCACCCTGGACAGAGGATGTCCCCTTCGCACTCAATGGACCCTTATGCTCAGCCACCAGGTACTCCCCGGCCATCAGTGGGGGAAAGGTTTTCTAAGTCACCAGGCAGCATGAGGGGGTCAATGGAGCCATTTACCAGTACACCCGGGACACCAAGGCCAGGGAGTAGTGACATGTTTCCCCAGCCTGGAGTCCCAAGACCAATGCTGAATGATCCTTACAGCCATCCTCCAGGCACCCCGAGGCCTGGTCCTGATGGGCTTACCAGACAAGGGCCAAGACAAGGACCAATGGGAAGCCAGGATCCTTTCTCCCCAACCCAAGGTAGACTTCAAGAGCCCTTCCCTCACCCAGACTTACAAACACCAAAACACCCCAGTGTTTCAGACGATGGATTTATTCAGTCACCCTCAAGAAGACCGAGTCAGACACCTGTCCATGATCCATTTGAACAAGCACCCATGACCCCTCGTCCACAGTCAGAAAAAATGGAAATGAAAGATCAGTCAGTTGTGGGTAACAATGGAGCTGGCCTTCAGGACCCGGTCCAACTGTCCAACAATCCACAAATTCCTGTTTCAGCAGCAGAGGCTCAAACTGTTGCTCTTGCTGAGTGCGATGAAAGACTCAGACAGGTACGTGAACACTGTTTGTGTTGTATTCTGAATCTTATAGTTTTAAATATTAATGTTAACTGTCTAATAATATTATTAATAGCCAGTACCAAATTGGTAAGAACAACAAGAAAACTACACATATCACTACATTTACAATATTCAGAAATTGTGTGAGTATCAGACAGATACTTCAAATTTTATTCTACAATCCTGTAGTTTAAAACATTTTATGATGCTGTGTAAAATGTAAAAGGAAAAACAAAATTAAAAACCAAATCAAGTAAAAATACTATAAAGACAAAGTATCACATTTTGAAACTAAAATGTAATCTTTTTTTAAAAAGTGTGTAATGCACATTTCAGTCTCTTCTTAAACCCCTCCCTATCTATACTTCTAAGTATTATGGGATTCTTCTTGTATACCAATCATGTTACAGATTAAGTTTCCTGTGAGATGTTTCCATGTATTTTTAAAGAATTATGAGATTATTTTTATAACTACATTGTTGCTTCTCTTAAATTCATGAGTATATTGGGGCAGGGTCAATGATTTCTTTGAACATTTTCAGTTTAAAAAAAAAATACAAATGAAATCATTTACATATCATAGCATGTGTTTGTTTATACTTTACAGTGTCCTCTTGAAAATAGAGGCCTATTTATAAACTTTATCTTCAACACAACTGTTCCAGACAAAATATGGACATACAGAAAACTAAAAGAAATCTCAAATAAAATAATGTTGTGCAGTAGCTATGTAAAAAAAAAACAAAAAAAAAAAAACAACCCCAAATCAATTCTTTGAAAAGCTAAAAATGATTTTAAAAATTTAAATCTTTCAAACTTACAGCGACAACGAATTAGAGAACTGATCATCAAACAGCAGCAACAGAGGAGTGCCACCCGACAGGAGAGGGGCCCTCAGGAGCCTGCTGGCAACATAACCCCAGGAACGCCACGGCCATGGCCCCAAGAGGGTCCTGCTCAACCAGGGGAAATATTCACCCGGCCTCCTCCGCCTTATCCTGGACAAGGACCTATTAGAGGGCCGATGAGGTTTCCTGGACATTTTCCAGGGGATCAGCGTGTAGCCTTTCCTAATGAAGGTCAAATGCCCCGCGGCCCACATCCTGGAGATTTGAGACATCAGGGACCAAGGTTTGTTTTGTTATTCTTTTAATTACTTTTTGTGTTTCCAAATTTAAGTCTTCCCTTTATGTCTTTATAAGTTTTTTTTCTTATCCCTCCCCCACAGGTTTGCTTTTCCACCTGGAGCTCTAGGACCTCATCGGTCTCAAGACTTCTTTCCAAGGGGGCAACACCCAATGCAAGATGTCCCTCCTCAAATGAGACGGTCTATGTCTGCTGAAATGGCAAAAAACATGGGAGCAAACCCTATGGGGATGCCCCAGCACTTCCCTCCTCGTGGTATGGCAATGCAGCAGCACAACATAATGGGGCAGCCTTTTATTGAACTGCGGCACAGAGCAGCAGAAAACAGGCCACGCATGCCATTCCCTCCTGCCAACATGCAAGGAAGCAATTTGGATCCCAACTTCCAGAACCAAAGGCCTGCAGGTTTTCCAGGAGCACCCGATTCTAGGTTCCCCTTAAATCAGGGCCCCAGAATGATGGACCCTATGGCTAACCAAATTGGCCATTTACACCTCTCTGCCAGTATGGACAATCTTCATCAGCAAACCCAGATTCCAGGAAGCACACTCAAACAGTCTCCTCTGATGAGGTCCATGAGCCAGCCTGCCTCAAATGAGACTCCAAATATGTCAGCTTCCATGATCCTGTCTGCACCCCCTGCTGGACAGAGTGAGACTGTCTCGGTGACGAGCAGAGAAACTGTGGAGGAGAAACTGGATACAGAAGAATCTGCAGTCAAAGATCTAGAGGACGTGGAGGTAAAAGATCTAGTAGATGCTGACTTGGAAAACTTAAATCTGGATCCTGAAGATGGCAAAGACCTTGATTTAGAGACCAATGACCTACACCTTGATGACTTCCTGACATCTGGGAAATTTGACATCATTGCTTACACAGACCCTGATCTAGATGATATCAAGAAAGACATGTTTAGTGAGGAGCTGGATCTCAGTGATCCTATGGATGACAATACTGATGCCACAGATATCAACAAAAGCGCAAGCACCGTAACCGAGGCTTCTTCCAGTTCAGCATCTGTACTGGCAAAGTCAGAGACTATGGGTGAGCAGTCTGCAGTTGAAGTCAAGCTGGAGGTCCCTTTAAATAAGGACTCAGCTGCTCTGGCTCCTGGGCAGGAAATTAAAGCAGAGGTCAAAGATTGTCAACAACCACCTGATGTAGTAGACCAGCAAACTGCTGGAAATACCTTAATCTCCGATAAGAAAGGAGTGCTTTCTGACTCCACCCCAGTCCTGTCTAGTTTACTCATTAAGCAGCAGCCTGAAGAGCAATCATTAAACCCAATTGTTGAGTCTGTCAATCAAGGAGGTGACCTCATAGCCCAGCAGAACCAAGTCGCTGATGCTCAACATACCTCTGGACTTACAATGAGTCAAACAATACCTGACACAGTCACTGCAGGAGAGGTTCCCCTGAGTGGCTTTGGGCCAGACCATCAGGTTGGACTAACATCTGGAGTGGACCAGAGCGGTCTCACCCAGGCCCAGCAGGCAGTGTTAAACCAGGCAATGGGCCAGAATTCCCAACAACATCGGCCACTTCTGCTTGAGGAGCAACCACTCCTATTGCAGGACCTCCTGGACCAGGAGAGGCAGGAGCAACAGCAGCAGAGGCAGATGCAAGCAATGATACGACAGCGCTCAAGCAGCGACTTCTTCCCCAACATTGGTAAATGAATTTATAGCACCGCTTAGGTGTCACTTTAAGTTAAGTGCTATTTTGGTTTTTTTGGGGGGAGTTTTAATCATTATTTTATTTGTTTTGTTGTGTTTTTTTGTTGTTTTTTTTCTTCACGTTTTTTGCAGTGTTTATTTCTGACAGTCATTATTTTAATCTGCAGATTTTGATGCCATCACTGACCCCATCATGAAAGCCAAAATGGTTGCTCTTAAAGGCATCAACAAAGTCATGGTTCAGAACAACATGGGAATGCCTCCCATGGTCATGAACAGGTAAGAATTCCACAAGAATGCATTTTCTATAGTGAGTAGAAAATAAGATGGTTATATGGGGAGTATACATAATTGATTGGAATGACTTCTGTGTGTCACAGATTTCCACCTGGTCCAGCACCACCTTGTCCTGAAAGTGCACCACTTCCTCCACAAGTTGTTGGACAGGTAACATGAATGGGTTTTTTTTCTTGGTTTTGGGGGGTTGGGGTGGGGCTAAACTTTACAATGCTCTTATCTGTTATAACCTTCTTTTTAATATATATTTTTTTTATCTCAGGATGGAAAATTGACACAAGTAACAAGACCAAGTCCGCCAAATTTCGGACCTGGATTTGTCAGTAAGTTTTCCAGAATCCCTGCGGCCTCACTGTTTTGGGTTTTATAGTCTTTTCAGGCTAGAAATATTAAGATGTTTGTTTTTTATGTTTTCAAGATTGCTAAAAAAAGAGCTTTTTTTACCACCTTCTTTCAGACAATGCTCAGAGGGCTCAGTATGAAGAGTGGCTCCAGGAGACTCAGCAACTACTTCAAATGCAGCAGAAGTTTCTGGAAGAGAAGATCGGCGCCCACAGGAAGTCGAAGAAAGCCCTGTCTGCCAAGCAGAGAACAGCTAAGAAGGCAGGGAGAGAGTTCCCTGAGGAGGATGCTGAGCAGCTCAAACATGTCACAGAGCAGCAGGGTGTAGTGCAAAAACAACTGGAGCAGGTAAATGCTTGGCCTGTCAAGCTCTAGTACTGAATTCTCTCAAACCCCCACTTCTCACAGAGACTGGCATGAGCACTGTCCTTTCTTTTATCCTGTGACCGAAGTTTGAATACTAAAAGTATTTCCTGCATCCAAACTGTTTGTCCAAATATTAGAGCAAAACACAGGGTAAAGCTTTAATAAGATCGAACTGAATAAGGTTGGAAAAACTTGAAGTGTTCAATGTTCTGAAAGAGAAACACCCACACATGTGTGATCTAAGAGAAACACAGTTGTTGCCTTTTTTTTTCTTTTCTTTTTTGATGTTCACTACCTTCACTTAATTTTTGAAGAATATGATGTTTTCTATTGCAAGGTATAATCTCTAACTGTATATTATATTTTAGCAGGCATAATTAGAGTGAAATATTAGTTGCGTTTACTCAAACTCTCTATGGGTATAGGACACAAACCACAGGCATTTGCTTTTTCTTCACCAAAACATACAGTCTTATGTCTTCACTGCAGCCCTCTTTGACTCTAAAAGTGCACTTTGCTGAGTTAAAATTTGAACATTGTTACAAGTTATTTTGTGAATTTATAGAAAATAACTTATTTTTTTTACTTTGTCTCAGATCCGCAAGCAGCAGAAGGAGCATGCTGAACTGATTGAGGAGTACAGAGTAAAACAGCAGCAAAACAATATGACACCTATGATGCCTGCAATGCACCCGTTGCCAGGCCCCACTGGCATGGTGCCCAGTGGCCCACCAATGGTTCAGCCTCCTATAAATCCCATGATGCAGATGCCACTTCATCCCAGCCAGCCAAATGTACCTCCACGTATGCCCAACGCACCACCTGGCTGGCATCCCGGTACTTCTATGCCCATGGGAGGACCAGGAATGCCACATATAATGCCTCCCCAGGTACCTATGGGAAATTCAGCCCAACCGCTTCAGATGCCAATGGGTAATGTACCGCAGCACTCTCAAATGCCTTTGGAGCCCCAAGCACCACCTGCTCCTCCAGGTGCCATAAAACCCATGCAGGCAGGTGGTGTGAAGTTTGATGACAACAACCCATTCAGTGAAGGCTTCCAGGAGCGCGAGCGGAGAGAACGGCTCCGGGAGCAGCAGGAGAGACAGCGGGTGCAGCTCATGCAGGAAGTCGAACGTCAAAGAGCACTTAAACACCGCATGGAAATGGAGCAGCAAGGGATGATGGGATCGGATGGGAACATGGCACCACTCTCTCAAATGCCATTTTTTAATGCAGAGCTGCCACAAGACTTCATGCAGCCACAAAGGCCTCCTCTGCAACATCAACAACAACTTGGACCAATTTTTCCTCAGCAGCAGGGCATGCAGCCTGGTATGGGCTCAGTGGCTGGAACATTTATACAGGGTGAGAGGAGAGCCATGGTGGGCAATGGCTTGATGCCACCAGAGATGGGGCCTGATAATGTTGCTCTGCAAGGACCAAACTTTCCTCACGGTCAGCCCAGGCCTCGTCAGTTCAGTGGACCAGGAATGCTTCCAATGCCAGGTGAGGGTCCACCATTTGGGGGTGACTCGTCAACACCTTTACCATCCAACTTTCCAGGCTCAGGTCAGTCTCTGATTCAGCTTTATTCCAACATCATCCCAGATGAGAAGGGGAAAAAGAAGAGGAACCGCAAAAAGAAGAAAGATGATGATGCAGATTCAGTCAAGACACCTTCCACTCCCCACTCAGACCTTACAGCCCCTCTCACACCATGTGTCTCAGACACTTCCTCTACTCCAACCAGAAATCCCCATCTCTTTGGAGATCAGGATTTGTCCAGGTCCCCTTTACTGGGATCTTCCACCCCCAGTCACTCAGAGCTTGAGCGGCAACTTTCTGGTGGGCAATCTGGACAATCTGCTCTGTCATCAGAAGCAGCGAGGGCCCAGGCACAAGCTCAGGAACATGACAGAATCCTCAGCAACATAAAGCTGGAGCAGACCGATGCTAGTGAGTGTCACGGACCAAAAGAAGGTTCCATTGGCCCAGAAATGAGCTCTGTGAAAGAAGAGGGTAACAAAGGGAGCGTGTCTCCGTTCGCTGCTGGGCAGAGTCCAAACAAAGGAGAAGCTGGTAATGAACTATTGAAGCACCTTCTGAAGAACAAGAGTACACCTCCACCTGGATTGTCTCAGCAGAGATCAGAGGAAAGCCTGCGGTCAGAGGAGGAGGAAACCACTGACTGCAAAACCTTACTGAGGCAAAGCTCCATGGACAGCAATGGGGTCAGTTTTTGTGTTAATCATATAGTTACAGAATGCCGAGGGGGTGATCAGCATAGTGAGTCATTTGCAGGCTGAGTGATTCAGAGTGATTCAGATGGGAGGGTCATCATAGCTAAATTAGAATGAATCATAGCTGTCAGAATATGAATGAGTCATAGTTATGTGTTTGAAAACATCTAACTTGAAGTCATTATGCTGCTCAAGTAATTTTGTTTTTGCTCATGTTTTGTTTGTTTTTGTTTTTTTCTGTCTCACCTCCAGGCATACTCAGATGGCACCCATGACTTTCCTGGACCTCTGCTCCCCGAGCAGAAGAAGAAAGGGAGAAACAAGAGAGCACCAAAAGCAGGAGAAAAACCTGTTTCTCGCTACAAGAAGAGGAAAAAGGAAGGAGATGAAAGGCAACTGATGCACACTGGACCAGACTCTGTAATGACCCAAATCAAACAGGTAAGTTGCTTTATATATATATATATATATACACACATATATATTGTTCTGTTGTTGTACCTGCTCCTCTTCCAATTGATGGGTGCTGTGTGTTGTTAGCTTGAAAGGCTGTAGTCTGAAGGCAGAATGTGAGATTCATTTGAACTTAAAATACTTGAGGACATTTCAGTGATTGTGGTCGGGATGGTTTGTGCAAGAATATATCTGGTCTGACTTCTCTGCTAACCTTCCACCGGTCTGCTTGTCTCTGCTAACACAGCAGCTCTCTCTGCTGCCTCTCATGGAGCCTCTGATTGGGGTCAACTTTGCCCATTTTGCTCCCTACGGCAGTGGCCAGCTCAATGGAGAGAACCTTTTGTCTGGTACTTTTGGCAGCGCCTCACTAGATGGAGTTTCTGATTATTATTCCCAGCTGGCCTACAAGGTGAGATCTTACTGCTTCACTAAGGGGATACCAGATAAACAAAGGGTGTGTGTGTGTTAAGTGTGTCTGTGGCACTGTGTGCCTGACATTGCATTGCACTTGGCTTCTACAGCAGAGTAATTTGAGCAATCCACCGACCCCGCCGGCATCTCTTCCTCCCACTCCACCACCTGTGAACCGACAGAAAATGATCAACGGTTTTGCCACAACCGAAGAGCTGGCCAGCAAAGCCGCTGCTATGGGTAAGCACTCATAAAGGTCCAAGATGGGCTGACCGATTGTGTTTCCATAATCTTAAAATGGGAGCAGAAAATGGAAGGAGGCATTCATACATATTAACGTTGTTTTCCTGTTGCAGTCTCCAAGGGCCTGGTCCCAAAGCCGCTGCATGTTCCATTTAGGAGTGAGGAAGATCTGTTAGCTCGGGCCATCGCTCAGGGACCCAAAACTGTGGATGTTCCAGCTTCTCTTCCCACACCACCTCACAACAACCAGGAAGAGCTCAGGTAACGGATAAAAAATAGTACTTCATGATTTATTTGGGCTGCAGTGTTTTAACAGAGTTGCTCATTTATTTATTTATTTTCCTTGTTGTAGTAATCGAGGACAGGAGCCTTGCAAGGAGAGGGACACACCTGACAGCTTTGTTCCATCTTCATCTCCCGAGAGCGTGGTTGGCATGGAGATCAGCCGTTACCCAGACTTGTCTCTGGTAAAGGAAGAGCCGCCATCCCCTTGCCTGTCTCCTGTCCTCCCCATGCTTCCTGCACCTGATGGGAAAGGTAAACGCATATATCTGTTTTATTTAGTTATTTATTTTATGCAGTATATACACAAAGCTCCACTAAAAAGTAAATTCGTGGTTTTCACATTAGTGTATCCTCGAGGGTCCATTTGATGTAAATGTGATCATCTTTCCAGATCTGCAGGGGTCAGCATTCTCAGCATAAAGGCCAAAATTTAGCAATGTGATGACTTTATACAAACACACCAGCTTTGCAACTTCCACAAATGAGATGTTGCACACACTTAACTATGGTGCTCCTTTTCTGGCTTTCCATTATGTTTTTAGTGTGCATGTGCAGAATGTATATGCATAAGAATCCTTTACAGTTTGCATAAAAGTATGTGGAAGATGGCTGTGTATGCCTTTGTATGATCACATTTGAACAGTGCAGCAGTTTTTGAGAGTGGTTTGCTTTTTCAATTCATTAGGGACCCAGATCAAACTGCAGGATGTCAAGACTGAGCCTTCTTCGATGTTCTTTGGCTCCCCCTTTGGCTCCATGTCTAATGATTCCAAACAAGGGATGGTTTCTGTTGCTATCACTCTGAGACCAGCTGCAGCTGAGGTAACAATACTTTACATTTACTGAGGTTAGACAAAAATCTGACATTCCGTATTTTCGGCACTATAAGACACATTTAAAATCCTTTAATTATCTCAAAAATCGACAGTGCGCCTTATAATCTGGTGCGCCTTATGTATGAATTCTGAAAACTCTAAATTCTTTCATCAATTTCATCAACAGCAATTTGTGACAGCAGTTTATTTCTAAATAAACTGCTGTCACTTCCAACATAAATGAAGACAGAAAACTAAACAGCAGTGAGGTTTGTAGGGTTACTGAAATTGGGATAGCTGGTATGTAATCATATGCTACGTGATCGCTAGCGACACAGCTATGTTAGCATAACATAAACAGTGAAGCTGGAGGGTGAATGCTAATGCTTGTTTTGCTTAATGCGCCTTATAATCCGGTGTGCCTTATGTATGAAAACAGACCCGTTCATTGACAGTGCGCCTTATGGTCAGAAAAATACAGTAATTCTTTTCCCAGTTCTCTCATTCTATATCATATCAGACATGTGCATAATCTGGCCACACAGTAAGAGAAAGATAATTATTGCAAGGGTTTGTTTTAAGGAGGATGCTTGTTTTTATTAGTCAGAGTGTAATTCTGAGAAATTACAGAGTTCTTAAAATAATAGCTTAATTTTTCTACACACATTATTTTAGGATTATTCAAGTTCTGTTAATTCTTGCACGTGCAAGATATTTAAAGCTGCATATTAACTTAGCTATCCTAGTTTATTGGCAGATTTCATTTTACATGAGAAAGTAAACTACTTTTAAATCAGCTGATATTGGCATTTTAGTTCCTAAGAGATTCACTTCTTAATATTAAATCAGAGGAGTAATACAGAAGTCAACATTTAACAGCTTTAAGTGCCTTTTTACTTGGAGCACTTGGGTGACTATGGTGGACGAATTTAGAGGACAACTTGCATTGCTCTAAATTTCTATTTATTTGTTTTATTTATTTTTCAGAACATTACCGGTGTGGTGGCAGCCATTTCAGACCTCTTGTGTGTGAAGATCCCCAGCAGTTATGAGGTCAGCAGCACCCCAGACAGGGGGCCCCTATCTATGGTCAGCGGTCAAAGGGTGGGCCCACATGGCATGGAGCCACGGCCTCCCATGCTTTTCAATGGACAAGGAGACACTGGAGGACTGCATGGACGGCCGGGACAAATGATCAGAACCAGTGGACCACAGGGAATGATGCAGCAGCAGGCACATCATTTCCGTTTCCATCCCAACAGCCCAGGTAGGGAATAAAACTAAATTAAACAAGAGCATCTCTGATTCCACCCGGTGCAGCAATACAGCCTGTAATTGAAATGTCATGTTTGATTTAAGCTAAATATAATCACTCCCTGTGAAAAAGCACAATTCAGCAATACTCTTTTGATACCTAATCACTTCCCTTTAAACATCCATAGGAGCGCTTTTGTTTTTTAACAGTTTTTTGAGTGTACCATTATTTATCTGAGGCTGAAGGTAGCCTACAGTCCAATTCTATAAAGGCTGTTTTATTTTGTTTGCTAAAGTTTGTTTAGTCCAATTAAAGATTCAATCATCTGTAGGTTACTGTCAGAGATGTTAAAAATTGATCTAATTTTGCATCACTTTTCTGTTACATCAGGCAATGCTGGAGCTCGAGGACCTGATCACAAGATCCCTGGCAGCTCTGGATGTAAACCCCAGTGGTGCTGCCACTGTAAGGTGGTGGTTCTGGGAAATGGAGTGCAGAAAGCCATCAAAGACCTCCCTGTTCACATGAAGGTACCAGATGCATTGGCTGCACAGTCATGTATATATTAACTGTGCACACCACCTGTCAAATAAAGGCTAAAAGTTGAAAATATAACCTTTACAGGAAGCCTGAATGGACTGAGGATGTAGTGCTTCTCCATTCCTTACTCAGAGATCAAGGCCACAGATAATAAATTGCTTCTGATCGTCAGCAGCTCTCATGAACAAAAAGGCTCTGATATCTAACGCCGTTGACTAAAGTACACCATATTTTAATATAGTGCCATGTGACAGTTTTGCCCCTGAGCAAAATTTCTATCACAAGTAAAAGATGAGCTGATTTCCAAAAAGCATTAAGTCAAAGATGACACATGGCTTTAATATTTTAACAAAGATTGCTTTTCTATATTTAGTAATTTATTTATTTTTTTAAATTAGACACTCTGCAGGTCAGCATCTGTGATACCACAGTTTATCACCTTGTGAAACAGAGTCTAAGAGTCTTCAGATTCAAACTTGTTCTTGTTCTGTCTTTACAGCTTGAACCTCTTAAGGTAGTAATTCATTGTGAATAATGAGTCCTGCAGTAGATGCTTCCTTCGGTTGATCTTATTTTTATTTTTTTTAAATAACGTTCGATGTATACGTGCAGACTTTGCTGTTCTTTAAGTAAATCTGCTCCTTCCTGCAAATTATTCTGCATGCCGCTGTCAATAAAAGCCAAAAGCATGACTCATTAGTCTGTGAACTTAGCAGTTAGTTAAAGCTTTCATTTATGCATCACATAACCTTTTATAATGATGACTGTGTCCATGCCAAAGCCCCGATGAGCTAGTTAAAATGTGAATTTTTGGTAAAGTTATCCGAGAACTCAAGCTTTAGCTCCTTTCCTTTTTACAGCTGTGAAATTGTACAAAATGCAAATTTGCACTAATGTTGCTTGATATGTTGAAATTATGTTTTTGTTTTAACTTTATGCATTTTGGAGATGACTATAACTTTGATTTGTGTAATGAGTCCCACTGTCAGAAATTTGGATCATTTCAATGTCATGTATACATATAATATTGAGATTATTATATGAGCTGTGATTGGTTGGCTTACCAGATTTTTACGTTGGAGAAATGAAGTATTAAAACTCCTTTCACCCTGAAGGGCCACACTTATCAATATATTTATATGCACGGCACTGGAATAACACTGAACATGTGCTCTGATTATGTAAATCTTTCCTAATGGAGTTAAATAGATTTCAGATCAGTTAGTAGGTTAAACAGCAGTATTTAGGTTATTTAAATATTGCATAATTTATTTTTCAACATCGCTTTGCCTTGAGTGGCTTCCATTAGTCAGATGTTGACTTACACCTCATTCCTAATTCAGCTTCTTCAAACTTGGACTGATTTTCTTCTCATTAGGAATCTGAAGGCCGTTTTAAATCTGAAGACGACTTGGTCTTCTGCAGCCACAACTGCTTCCTTCTCTACTGTTCATCACCACCACTGCAGTCCAGATCAACCACAGAATCTAAGGTTTGTACCACTGTAACCCATGCACATCTCTGAGAAATCTGAGTCTTAAAAAAGCATTTGACTTTTATGTTTGGCACTTTTTTTTCCCTTGTCATCTTCCCAGGAGTCTGTGTCCCTCCTCCCAGCCTCTGAGCAAACAGAGAGCCTTTCTAAAACTCAGCACCAGTACAGTAACAACATGTCCTCCCTGGATGTCCATTGTCTGGCCCAGCTTCAGCCAAAGCAGTCACCCCCCTCTACACCTCCCATCCCATTCCCTTCAGCAGGTGAGACACCCAAGACTGACGCAAAATCCGATGCCCTCAAAGTGACAGTGAAGCTGAAGTCCAGGCCAAGGGCCCACGACGGCTGGCATCAGGGAAAGAGACAGAAAGGACTCCGATGGAGGAAATGGACTGTCCAGGTGGTGGTGCCAAGAGGGAATTCGCAGCTCCCGGATGAGGATAAGATTGATGAGCTCCTGAAGAAGCTTGGAGCCTCCCTGCGCCCTCCAGTGTCACTCAAGGACCAGAGACGCTGCTGTTTCTGCCATCAGTTTGGAGATGGAATGACTGATGGTCCTGCCAGGCTGCTCAATCTAGATCTCGATGTGTGGGTTCATCTCAACTGTGCCCTTTGGTCGACTGAGGTGTACGAGACTCAAGCTGGCGCCCTCATCAACGTGGAGCTTGCGCTGCGGCGTGGTCAAACGATACGATGCGCCTACTGTCAGCAGACCGGAGCCACCAGCGGCTGCCACCGCCTGCGCTGCACCAATGTCTACCATTTCACCTGTGCCCTGCATGCTCAGTGCACCTTTTTCAAGGATAAGACCATGCTCTGCCATGCCCACAGGCCCCGGGGAACAGCGGGACATGCTCTGGAGCACGAGCTGCGATGCTTTGCCGTGTTCCGGCGTGTTTATGTCCAGAGAGACGAAGTGCGTCAAATTGCCACGGCTGTGCAGCAGCCCGAGTTAGGTTACACCTTTCGGGTAGGCAGTCTGGTGTTGCATGCGATCGGCCAGCTCACACCGCTACAGATGGCGTCCTTCCATTCCTCAACAGCCATCTTTCCAGTTGGCTATGAAGCTTGCCGCATTTACTGGAGCATGCGCCATGGCAATCGCCGCTGTCGCTACATCTGTTCAGTTGAAGAGAGAGACGGGATACCAGAGTTTACCATCAGAGTCATCGAACAAGGCTACCAAGACATGGTCCTGACTGACACCTCTGCTAAAGGTTTGCCCTCAGGAAAAAAAAATACTAGTGTGTTTTTGTGGCTAATGAAACAGTTTTAACCAGCTTCTGTTCTTGTCTCTGCTCCTGTCATTAGGAGTGTGGGATAAGGTGCTAGGCCCAGTTGCTGAGAAGAGAGCTGAGTCAGGCACTCTGAAGCTCTTTCCTGTTTACCTGAAAGGAGAGGATCTGTTTGGGCTCACAGTTCCTGCAGTTGCCAAGATCACAGAATCGGTTTGTACCTACTTTGGAGGATTTCATCAGCTGCAAGAATTTAAAAACATCAACAAATCTCTAAATGATGCTTTTCATCTGGTTTCAGCTCCCAGGAGTGGAAGCTTGTGACAGGTACTCGTTCCGTTACGGACGCAACCCTCTCGTGGAGTTGCCTCTCATGTTCAATCCAGCTGGTTGTGCCCGCGCTCAGCCAAGAACAAGCTCTCCCTACACCTCACTGGTGATAAGGTAACTTTGTTTGAAGTTGACATTAAATTAGCTTCCTGGGAACGTTCTGTCTCCAAGTAAATAAGTCAGAGTTAATAAAATGTTCTCCTTCTCCACCTCCCTCCTAAAAATAAAGGCCTCAGCCACAGGCTGTATCCAGCAGCAGTGCCAGGTCTAACCAGAATGTTGCCCAAGGAGAAGGTGGCGCCCCCCATAATAAGCCTCCGGTGGTGCACCCCAGGTCCTCCCAGTACCGCTGGATGAAGAGTGAGTGGCGAGCCAACGTCTATCTGGGCCGCTCCCGCATCCAGGTGAGTCGAGCAGATTTAAATTCTTTTTAAACTGTCAGAGTGAGACTGATGCTTTTGTTTTCCATTTCCTGTTGACTAAATGAAAACCTGCTTATTTGACATATTCACAGGGCCTGGGGCTGTTTGCTGCTAGAGACATTGAAAAACAGACAATGGTGATTGAGTACAATGGAACCATCCTCCGAAATGAGGTCGCCATCAGGAAGGAGAAAATCTATAGGTCTAAGGTAAATATATGTGCTGCAACATTGTGTTTTTTTATTAAAATGATCTTTTCCAAAAGCTAAGAGCATTTCTTCTCTTCCTTGTAGAACCGGGCAGTGTTCATGTTCCGCATCGACAGCGAACATGTTGTTGATGCCACACTTAATGGAGGGATCGCAAGGTACTCTGAGCTTCCACAAACTGTTTGAGCATTTTCATAAATGTATTTATGACAGTGTAGCATTTCTTTCATGCTCACTTACTGCAACAAATGTCATTCAGTGTAGCACACCGATGAGCCACAACATTAAAACCCCTTGCGGGTGAAGTGAGTAACCCTGATGATCTCAGTGCACTGGTATCTGTCAAGGGGGTGGTTACAAGAGGCTGCAAGTGAAGAGTGAGCTCTTGAAGTTAAAACAGGGAAAAATGAGCAAGCCTGTTGATCTGAGCGACTTTGACAAGAGCCACATTGTTATGACTAGATGACTGGGTCAGGGCACCTCCAGAACAGCATGTCCGGTGGGGTGTTACCTGTTTCCAGTGGTTAGCACAAGTGATGAGGGCTTAAAGCACATTGATGTGTGGGAGTAAAGGGTGGTTCTGTGATCCCACAGAAGAGCACCTCCAGCACAATTTACTGAAAACTGGTTATGGTAGAAAGTTATCAGAATGCACAGCGCTGCACAGGGTTTTCATACTGACCACTATCCACTGCCAAAGGAGGCAAGGGTGTTAACTCAGCTTCCAAGTCCCTGAAATCTCAAGTCTGTTTGAGCATCTGTGGGATTTTTGAGGAAGGAAAAAGAAGTAGTGAGATTTATGGATGGCCAGCCTTACTTCTTACAGGACTTAACTGATGAGCTGCTAAGATGGAACAAAGGTTTTGTGGAGTGCACGCCTCAACGTCTTAAAAGTAGCCTCTCCATATCTGTCTTACCGATATAATCTTCCAGTAAAGTGGCACAGACGAGACTCTGCTTCTGTGTGTGGGAGGCTTGTCTGCAAACTGGTACATATTGCAAATGAGCATCAGGGGTTTTTTTTCATTGCTGCTGTAGACGTTGGCCTTTTTTGGATTTTGTTATCAAAGTGATGGCAGTTCAGTTGCATTGTCAAAAGGGCCCAAACACACATGAAACCAGAACTAGAGACCATGTTGGAACAGGTTCATGCCCTTCTTCATAGTTTGTGAAAGATGAACACTCAGTAGTCAGTACTACTTTGTTATGAGTTCTCACTGACAAAATCTATCCACAGATATGAAAACCCCGGTAAACATACTCTAAACTGCCTTTGCGTCTCATTTTGCCATGCTGACCAAACACAGACTCACAAGTTGGAAACAAAGCTAGTTTCTTTTGAATGTCATAATTGTTTTGTTTTTTTAAATGTTGGCATTTTCATCTTATCACCGTCTGCCGCTGCGTGTCTGAATCAGCTCACAGAGGCAGCAAATGAGCCTTTAGTTGCAAATAGAATCTGCAATCATTTAAATGTGGTCGGCTATGTTACAGTAATGCTCTGAACGCTGTTTCACGCGTGACTCGTGCTTCTTTTTCAGATATATCAACCATTCTTGTGCCCCTAACTGTGTTGCTGAGGTGGTAACATTTGAGAGGGGTTACAAAATCATCATCAGCTGCATTCGCAGAATTGAAAAAGGAGAGGAGGTTGGTACACACACACACACACACACACACACACACACACGCACACACACACACACACACACACACACACACACACACACAAATATCACATGACAATTGCTCAAAATATTGCACTATTAATACAAGCAGCAGGAAA